CTCTTTCCCAGAGGGAATAAAGGTAGGCGTCCTTACGAGGCCAATCAGCGGAAACCCTTATGCCAAACTGGGCACCAACATCTGAAGTTATAGTTATAGGCAAGTTGCGTCGGGAACACAAAGTTTAGAAACAGAGATCGTTGGGCACTAGCTGGCGCTGTTTAGGGACGATTCCCATAGAGCGGTTTGCCCACCCCCCCACACACTTAGCTAGTAGAGCGACAATTCCAGAAAATCCCCATAATCGGGTTCAAGTTAGTCTTACTATAAGTAACATGATGAGACTGGGCATCCACCCACCTTCACTTAACACGCATCAATTGACTTCCAGCGGAAACGGGCCCGCCGCCCGGTATGCGAAAAAGTAGATACCGCGAGGCAGTAGAACGTTAATGCATCTGAAAGAAGTGACTAAAATATAATAGTCGACCCATCGTTGTTGATACACCTTGTTGTTACACAAAACACACATGAGCATAAAAAGTTAATAAGGGCGGTGTGATAGGTACATAGCTCAGCGTGCATACATTTCAGTCCAGCACTGAATACAGCTGGAACCTACTTTTGGTCTCCTGTACACAAGAGGGTTGAGCCAAAATGCGACGGAAAAATTTTCTATAAATCGATGTTCATTAAAGTAGAGTTAACAAAAATAGGCCTATTACGGGGAAAACAAAACAATGGAGACGGTGAGTAAATAATACAGTGTGAAAAGTGATGGAGGATAAAATTCGGGATGAATGTGCTGGTAAGGCAGCGAGGCACGGGAGAAAATACAAGAAAGGCGGACATAAGAGGGAGAACAGAGCACTCTTTCTAATCATCCGCTTCCAGCCACGCGTCAAGGGATAGCTGCTTGTCCCGTCGCCGTTCGGATCGGGCTGCTTTCTCGTACTCTTTGAGGAGTTCCACTTCAGAATCAATCAGGCCTCGATATATAGCCAGATTACTGAAGTCCTCTATGGGCTCAAACATCAGATCCTGTAGAAAGAAAAGTATCGGGAAATAAAAAGGCACACACGCAGGACAAAAAACAGGAAAATCAGCATAAGTTGAGAGTGGTGTTTGAAAAGATCCGAGAAAAATGACCACCCTCTCTCAATGGCATTCGAACAAAACACACGCAAATAAGCTAAAATTTTGTTTAATCAAACACGCAAAACACATTGTGGCCTACAATCTAGAAGGATGACCATGACAACTTATGGAATCGTAATCACGATGTTTTACGGCAGAAGACTCTCAGCTGGTTTGCGGAACGAAATGTTATTCAGGTTCATAAAATAGGTTATTTGGACTAATGACGTCAGTCCGCCAGAATTCATTAGCAGATAGGCAAGCTGTACTGTTCTCGACTTTTGCCATTAGTCGAGACTGTCGGACAAAAATTCGTTCGGCACGAGTAAGCATAGGCTGCTTAACCACAAGAAGATGAGATCGCAGGGACAAGACTTTTATTCGCCAGTAATCGCATCTTCTTCAAACTTACTTCCTGGGACTCGCATGTTCGCTTGTATTGGCAACAGTCATTTAACTCAGCAAGGAAACATAAGCTGATGAAGAGCGTGCGATTTGGAAAGCTCACCTTCTCATTAGCCAGATGGAGAAGACAGTTGAGAGAAATAGCAACACTAAGTTCCTCGGCCGTGTTTCTGGATACTTTTCCGGGCAGGGCAGTTAGGATTTGGCCAAAGTCGCAAAGCGGGGAGGCAGCTGTGACCACATCTATACCGTCCACGGCCGCAGACTGGTCTAGTTTCGATGCCTTTAGGGGGAGTTGGGAACCTTCAGGACAGGACTCAGGATCGGGTAGGGCCGCGTCAATCATACTCCACATAACATTCTTCAGATGCCGCATGTTTATTAGTTTGGCAGAGCGTGCATATCCTATCTCTAAGCGCGCCACTTGACGCGGCTGACTAACTAGCTCCACTTGGTCCATCTCGCAACCCTCGAAGTCACCCATCGTGCCGTCCGGCATGTTCTCGACGTCCTCGTTCACGCCATTGGTACCCTAGCGTGGAGATGAAAAACGCATTTTTTATTAATAGCAATAATCAGTGGCGTTGTGGCGTCATCCGCACAAACAGACTGAATATCAGTCAAACTAGCAAACATAGCTTAAAAAGACGGTTATCTTTAATATTATCGTCCTTGCATGTGCATGAAATTTTTCACTACTTCGTCAGAATAACGTACAACCTCCAAACCTTCTTAGCGACTGACTGGAAAGTACGGCTAGTGTTTTAAAATAACTAACCAAATAATCTAAATAATTAATGGTTACAGTCGATACAGAATTTAGCTGCCCTTTCGGCTAATGGTAATTACTCCATAGGGTGGGCACTCGGACCTAGATCCATCCCAAATATGCAGGGTGAAGTGTCGACGGAGTAGCAAATCCTGTCAAGGAAAGGTAACAGAAGCCTTGTGACGGTAGTTTGTGCGGACCATGTAACCATTCCAGGCGACGACGAAGGTAAGATGATCTAAGCCACTCAGCCTAAAACTATGTATGTCTAAAACAATTTACCTCCATGGAATTTAAGACACACAAGGGTTTTGAAATAATAGGTGACTACCAATTGTGCATTGACGCGTGGAGCCTGGGTATGTTTTCGAGAAAGGGCACAAAGGGCGCTGAAGCATGAATGATCGAGGTCAGAAAGAAGACTGGAATGGTTATTTTAGGCTTCTTTGTCGTCATCAAGTAGATATACCCAAACCCTCGGTAGGGCAGACCTAACACTCGAAATCGGATCAGGCAGACGCTGAACATTCTAGTTTTAAGTTTTGTCATGTATAGAGGCGGTTGAAAGTCGTGTAGTGTATATCGACATGACGGTTGGTTAGTTGTTAGCAAAACACGTTATAACCACGGTTGTAGGTCAAGAACTGCACACAACAGAAAATGAATGGTCGTGCTGTCCCA